TTTGATGTTGTAATTCCATTTGCTTTGAACAAGATGATGCATATTTGTGGCGCTACAACAAAAATCAAGTTTCTAATGACGAAAGCTAGAAAGAGAAAAGGCCGTCATTGCGCAATTTCGCGCCATTTTGGTTTCACTCGCACAGGTAATGTACCCATAACTGCCAGATGTTCGACGTTTTGCCCACAAGAACTTTTCTGAAATTTCAGATTCTTTCCTCATTTCTAACAGGGATGTCTAGCTCAAGATAGAAAAAGAGAATGGTTGACCTTTCTTTGTCATTACATGATCCAGTAGAATTGGAAAAAAGAAAAAAAGAATAAAAATTCATTCTTTAAACATCTGGGCTTTAAATGCAAATGAGCATAAACTCACAAGACTCTATCCATTGCAAATAATTCCATTGTGCATATATTATATATATATAATCATTTATTTTTTAAGTTGTGAAACCTGATAGGAAATCCGTGATCTTTGATTACATTCATTTATTCTCTGCCCAGTGATCTAAACAATTGTATAATAACAAAGTAAACGGCAGAAGATTAGAATAATCAAGAAATAGATCTAAAGCATCTTGCATCATGTCTTTGCCTTAATTTATACATCCAAGTTGATATCTTGACAAACTATCACTGTTATGCTGATTAACATAATCTAATAAAAAATTGATTTCTCATTAGTCAACGGCCCGAACTCTTGGACCAGACTTAAAACCATTTCTAAAGCTCTGGCCATTGGCCAATCACATTTTTCCATCATCATCTTCATATTCCTCTGTTTGTTTGTATCCTCTCTTGTCTAATGGGCTTCTTGTTTTTCTGCCTTACTCTCCTCTCCATTTCTTTTTCCCTCGTATCGGCCAGTTTCTTCACGGAATTCGTGTACCCGAATTTCACAGCTTCGAACATTAGATTCCGAGATGGTGTCGGGCGATTCTTGTTCTCTTCCAATGGGAAATTCAAGGCCTCAATGTTCAATCCAGGCTCTCAAAGAACCCGATTCTACTTATGCGTTATTCACGTCGAGTCGAATATGATCATATGGTCCGCTAATCGAGACTCACCTGTATCCGAGTCGGGGATTGTAGCTTTAACCGTCAATGGCATCACGATAAGCGATGAGAACGGAAGTCAAAGATGGTCAACTCCAAAATTACAATCTCCGGTCTCTGCTTTACAGTTGACAGATAGCGGAAACCTCGTTTTGCTTGACCGGTCAAATTCGACCCTTTGGGAAAGTTTTCGTCATCCCACAGACACAATCGTGATCGGGCAGAGGTTATATCCATCGGCTGTGCTTTCGAGTGCCGTCTCGAGTGATGACCTGTCAACCGGCGGTTATAACCTCTCGTTAACTTTGTCTGATGTTGTGGCTCAGTGGCAAAACCTCGTTTATTGGAAGCTGTCGATGGATGTCCAGGCGTACGTGAACTCGAACTACAATGTCGAGTTCTTGGAAGTCAACCAAACGGGCCTTTATTTGCACGGTCGAAACGGGTCGGCTGTCGTGATCTCGGTGAATCTGCCGCCGTCCGATTTCCGAACAGCGAGGATCGACGGCTCCGGTCAGTTTGTGGTCAGGAGTTTCGCCGGAGGCCTTCAGGCACAAGAATACGTGCAGCCGGCCGACAAATGTCGAATCCCTTTCGTTTGCGGGAAGTTAGGGTTATGTAATGAAGGTGTCTCGGTCGATAATTATGCGTGCTCGTGTCCATCGGGATTTCGGGTAAGTTCTTCGAACCGTGGAACCGATTGCATCCCGAGCGATTTTTCTCACTCGTTATTGGTTTCGTGCAATTTATCGTCGTCCCATGACGTAAATAATAGTTCGAATTCTTCTGCAAATGTTTCTTACATGCCGCTCGGCAATGATGTCGATTACTTTGCAAACGATTTCAATCCGCCAGCTGTCTTCGTGTCGAATTTGTCCCGGTGTGAGGATTTGTGCTCGAACGATTGCGCGTGCTTAGGGATTTTCTACGAGAACTCGTCCGGTTCTTGTTACACGCTCGAAAACAATGTGGGATCAGTTATGGTGAAGTCTACGAGTAATGGCGGTAATGTTCGTCTAGGCTTCGTCAAGACGATAGTCAAACCACAGTCAACGCGTTTCGACAATTCGAACGAAAACAACGAGAACGTGAACTTTCCGGGAGCTTCCGTAATTCTACCGTCAGTTGCCGCCGTCTTTATCTTCGCGCTCGGTTTTCTACTATGGAGAAGGTTTAGGCACTCGAGAGTCTACAACAATAATCAAGACACAACACCACCGAGTCACTCGCGCTCGTATTCGTTCTCCTCGATCTTCGACGACACGGAATTCCCAATTCCCGGTTTGCCCCTACGGTACTCCTACGCGGAGCTCGAGGCCGCGACCATGAATTTCGAGACGAAAGTCGGGACGGGCGGATACGGAACCGTCTACAAAGCCACCCTCCCCGACAAAAACCAAGTCGCCGTGAAGCGGCTTGCCAAAATCGGCCCGCAGGGCCGTCGCGACTTCTGTACCGAGATCGCCGTGATCGGCAACATCCACCACGTGAACCTCGTCAAACTAAAAGGCTTCTGCATCCACCGAAAAGAGTGGCTCCTCGTTTACGAGTACATGAGCGGTGGCTCGCTCGACCGGGCCCTTTTTGGTAACGGACCCGTCTTGGAGTGGAGAGAACGGGCCAAGATCGCGACGGGCTCGGCCCGCGGGCTCGCTTACCTCCATAGCGCGTGCGAGCCAAAGGTCGTACACTGCGACGTGAAGCCCGAGAACATTTTGCTCGACTCGAGCCGTTCTCGGGCGAAGATCTCGGATTTCGGGCTCGCGAGATTCCTCGGGCCGGAGGAGTCGAGCATGCTCGCGACGATGCGCGGGACGCGAGGCTACCTCGCGCCCGAGTGGCTGACGAGGTCGACGGTCTCGGAGAAGACGGACGTTTATAGTTTCGGGATGGTGTTGCTCGAGATCGTGAGTGGGAGGAAGAACTGTTTGCCGAGGGCGAGTGACGGGATTTTCTTCTTCCCGTTGTTTGCGCTCGAGATGCATTTGGAGGGGAGGTATTTGGAGCTCGTGGACGGGAGGTTGGAGGGTCGGGTGGTGGGGGAGGAGGTTCGGAAGTTGGTACGGGTGGCGTTGTGTTGCGTTGACCAGGAGCCAGGGTGGAGGCCGAGCATGGTTAATGTGGTGGGGATGTTGGAAGGGGAGATGGCGGTGGGGGAGCCGAGATCGGAGGGTTTGGAGTTTTTGAGGTTTTACGGGCGGACGTTTAATCAGAGTGGGCCCGCGGGTTTGGTGGGGGTCGACACGTGGCGCGAGGGGATTGGTGGTGCGGCGGAGAGTCGGAGGGTGTCGGAGGCGGATAATTCGTACGTGTCGTCGGAGCAGATTTCGGGTCCGAGGTAGAAAGGGAAATGGGTTTTTTGTTTTTTTTTTTTAGAAATGTTTGTGTTAGGTTTGTGTTGTTCAGTTTTTGCAGCTTGCATGGAATATCAAGTTTTTTAGTTGGTAATATGGACTGGGAATATCAAGTTTTTTGTTATCGACTGGTAATATGGTCATGGAAACAAACACTACTAATTTCAAATGCTTTTGGATGAGTTTTATACTTCTTCAATCTTCATGAATAAGGTTTATGGAAAAGCTAATTAAAGTTATTCGCCTCCAAAATTCTCTCACATTTCAAATCAAGTCTAATGTACATGAGTATGTTTTTTAACAATATTATTTCTCTTATTCTTTACTTCTTAGGTCGCAAGGAAACTCTCTTTCTCATGTCTAATCTAAAAATAACAAGATATATACACTAAATATTAACTGCACGATTCATATGATATTTATCAATCGACAATTAACTTAAAAAAAGTATTCTTTTTCTAATCACCTGAAATCAACCTTTCTAATTTGTATATGTACACATATTTCAAAAAAAGAAAGAATCTAAACGTTTTTGGGTCTATCTTTCAAAGTATTTTGAACACCACAATGTATTAGTTCCTCAACTTATTTTTTCACGTTACTTTTTCAATCAATATATGTATACATTATAAGATAGAATTATTTTGGGGGATGGTTGTGCCACCCAGTCCCCTAAAATAAAAAATAAAAAATATAAAAAAAAAAGGTCCTGCCGGGAACGATGATTTTCATTACTTCTTATATTATATAAAACTAGTATGAATCCCGTGCGGTGCACGGGTAAGAGATATTAATTAATATTTATAAATTAAATACGCTCCTTATATAATATTTATAAAGTTAAAATATGAAATATACATGTAATGCATTTTACCTATAAAATTTAAATTGTGCAAATTTACATAAAACATGTCTAGTTAAAAAAATAATGAAGTAAAAAAAACAATGGAAAAATGAATTCAAAATAAGTTATTTATTCTTATCTCCTCATCATGAAAGAAAATTTCCAAGTAGTTTTTGTATTCAACAGCAAATTTATTTTCAATTATTCACAACTTCATATGTAGTTTCTTAGTTCTAGTGACTTTGTTGATCAAACCAAATTCGCACTTCATCTTGAATTAAATAAAAAGATAAAATCAATACTTACAATATTAAAAATGAAATCAAATGAAGGATAACAACAAATGATCGAAAAATGACTGAATTTATAAAGGAAAAACAAAGTATAATTTAGTTAAATTCCATAAATATTTTTGATATGAAAAGTATAAAGAAATTGCAATAAATCAATTTAAAAATTGTACAAATTCTTTAGTACACAATTTCTGTAATGTAAAACATTTACTTTATTTAATACATTAAATTTTACTTTGTTTGACAATTATATTTTTAGTTAATTGTTAATCAAATTCTCATTTAATTTAAACGCGGTATAATTTTTTTGATTGGATGAAATTCAATTTAGAAATATTTTACTGTTGATCAGTTGGGATGTTACTAAATCCTATTAGTATATTACTTGTTGATCAATTACTGTATGAGATGGACTGATTGTTATGGTATGATTGGGTATCTCAATTTTTTTTTCCGTTGTAGTCGTTAAGTTGTGTGAATAGTATTATGTAATTTAATTAGATTGATCGATTTAATAAATATATATACCAAATAATTTGGTATATATATTTATAAAGAAGTATCGACCTTCTCCAGATTTTTCTTTCATTAATATTGAGTAAAATGCTTAGCAATATGGAAAAAAAAATATTGAGATACTATTTCTTACCATAAACCGGTATATTGGATCAATATATAGTATACTAAATAATTATATTTTATACTTTATCAATAAAATACAAAAAATGATAATTACTTTTACCACAAATTAATTGCCCAACGTAGAAAACAAAATCGAGACCCACATTTTTCATAGATAAAAATAAAAAAGACCCAAAAAATAGTTATTAAAAAATAATTGAAAGAAAATTGCAATTAACACAATTATCTTGGAACAATTTTATAAAAATTTATAATTGAATAAATCAACAAAATCTATACGACCTGTGTAATTAGGATATCTTAAAAATGTAAATTTTATATTATTTTATTAATTATCCACAAGTTGAATAATTAAATACACAAAAAATGAATAACATTTATTAAGTAAATTAACAATTTTTTTTTTTTGCAAATCGCATAATTGATTATTGTTGTCAATATTTTCATAATTATAGTAATTATTTGCAAAATGAATAAATCAGTCGGATTTACACAATTTGCGTAATTATTCTATATTAAAAATACATTTCATATGGTAACAGAAAAAAAAATACATTTCATAAAAGAATTACACGAAAAATATAAAACACTTATTAAATAATAAGTTACACAATTTAGTTGGACTTTTTTAGCAAATCACATAATTAATATTGCATCCAAAATTGACATATTTGGGTAAATCATCCGAAGTCACATGATTTGAGTAATTATCTTAAAAATAAAACTTTTTATGTGTTAATTATTTCTTTAAATAATGAGACGCGATTTTTATAAGTGATTATTTGAAATATACTATAAATTGTTAAATTAATTATTCGAAATAGTAAATAGATTTTTTTTTGGTGGAAAATATTTACTATTTAAAAAATAATCAAACTTTTATATAATAATAATAATAATAATATAATAATAATAATTATAATAATAATAATAATAATAATAAATATTTAATGTACATTAAACTTGAACTACAATGAAGAGATTATTTGGAACATAAGATAAAGATTAAATATATCCAAAAAAATCTGCAGGCAATCCTTTATTTAAACGTTTGAATTTAAATTATTGACTGAAAATTTCAAATTATGCTTGGGCGGGATTTCTAAATTTTTTTAAAAAAGTTACTATGTTTAGTAAATTTTTAGGCGGGAATTCTAATCATTTTTTAGCTACTATTTTAGGATTTATTGGGTTACCTCTTTATATAATAATAGATTTGAAAGTAAACTGTTCATCCAGATTATTTATATCACTATACATTTTATGTTAAAATAACATTTTATTTTAAATAATATTTAAATAGGATCTCACTACACTCCTTGTCATCTTGTGTAATTAAGGCATGATATGGTCATGTGAGTGGATTTTGGTATTATTATGGAAGTTTGAATATTACTTCTAGCAACAATTTTGGTAAATACTCAATTTGGAGTTGTCCCTTCAGGTGGAGATTTATCTATAATTTTGGCACAATTGTTTCGAGTTGAGGTGTTTCCTACATCACAATTCGATTCACTTAAAGAAGAAAAGGTCCAACATTCATAACAGGTGGACAAGTTTACATATTGTTTTGTATACCCATTAATCGAGGTCGAGAGTTGGCTAGGTCATTCGACCTCGGTTACAGGATTTCATGTGTCTTTATAAATAAAAAATTTAAATTTATTTATCATACTAAATGAGAATATCAAATATAACTTAAATCAGTCCATAATAAAATAATAAAAATTAAATTTATTAATATACCATAAACCATTTTAGTATATTTTCCTTTATAGATCTGGAAAAATGTAGAAATTGAGTATTATAAAAAATGAATATGAAAAATATTTAAAAAATTATGTCCCGACTTAATTTAAGTATATATAAAGTTTGAACGTTATTATGATGTTGTAAATAAAAATTTATAAATGAATATCACAGTTAATAATTAAAAAGTATATATAAATTTAAAAAATATTATATTTGTATATATTAATTTATATTTTAAATAATCAAACATATGAATTTAAAATACTTACAAAGTAATGTATGAGAAATCAATCATTACTATTCATGAATATTTTTTTAAATTACTATACATGAATATTTTTTAAACATGTAGATTTCAATTTAATATTCATTATTTTCATTAAATAAAATAAGATTGATAGAAATATATATACTAATTAAGCTATATTAAAATTAATTGAAATTATAAAAATGAAAAATGGTATGTTTGGTATAGATTAAAATGCCGCGCGTAATCAAACATAATTTTTGTTTCACTGTACTATAAAATAGAGCAAACTTTATACTAAAATAGAGACAGAGTTGGAAATAACCTTACCTTGTGGGTCGAAGAATGAACTTTGTTTATCGAGTCTATTTTACATAAACACCCCTAATATTTTGTTCCAGTAAGTTTGAAACTGACAAATAGTGTCATCTAAATTCTTGAACAAAACTTATCAAATTTACAAGAAAAATTATTCATTGAATAGTGTATCAAATTATTATTTTTCAAATTATTTAATAAGTTTAATGTACTAATTCTAATGAGACCCCAAATAATGTTTTTTAGAGACAACTGTGTGTAAAATAAAATTATGCCTAGTTATTTTGTGAGAGTATATATGGTCGAATTGTGTGTTTCAATTTGATAAAAATAAAATTATGCCAATGTTTTGTTGATTTGTTCATCAATAATTAAATTTCCGAGAAACTCCATAGAACATACCGCATAGCTAAATGATACGTTGACAACTTGACATTGTTATATNCGACGTGTTTCCCTATTTTTGCGCTCTCATGAAAGAAACTAGAGCTCAAATAATTAATAATAGTAATGTATGTAATTTTTAAAATTTAATTATTTCACAATATATAATTTTAACTGCAAATTTATAGTTTGATTGGTAATTGACATGTCATGCTTGTGTGCTATTAAATATTTTGTTGAGAATGAATTTTCAATCATTTTTTTTAATCAAATTGATCAATTTTAAAGATCACATAACTACTGATCATTTGATTCTAATTAGACTAAAATTTATTACACTGTCACATGAGTTATGAAACTATTTTTAATTTTTTTTTCCACCAAATTAAATAAAGATGGTGATGTAAATCGAAGGACCTAAGTACGCTTCGCAACTGGCCCTTCATTTTATAGTTAATTTGCAACTATTGAATTTTCAAGAAACTTCGTAACAGTTTAACAAAGAGTCAAAGCTCCTCTATTGGTTCTCAGCACAAATAAAATTGTTTAGAAACAGTGACAGAATACTGAATACCAAATATTTTCATTTACTGTAATGCTCAAAAGTGAGATAATCCATCATATTTTTAATAAAAATGCATATTTATATATATATTATCATACTTTTATTTATTTATTTTTATCTATAACATTTCAATGAGTGTTCATATTGTTTGAAAAAGTATGATGGCCCAATGTAGCTTGCTTCATATCGGCTTTATTCCTAACTAACAATATAGTAAGGACAAAAGGTAGCTAAGTAATTTCGATCATATATAATTAATGTTACAGACTAGTACAATACCCGTGTATTACACGGGTGTTGAATTAGAAAGTTTTTATAGAAAATATTAAATTTTTTATTTTTTAAAAAAACTAAAATAATTTATTTAATATAAAATATTACTTTGGGTTTTAATTAAATTGTCAAATTATATTTTTTTAATCATAATAATTAAATACCCGTACATTAAATGAAAATGTCAACCCGTGTTGAACTTTTTTACTTATATCATATAAAAATATCGATATTATTTACTATTCCATAAGTACAAAAATATATATCTTAAATAAATAGAAATAATATGGTGATAGGTATATAAGTGTAGAATATGTTTGTTTAATATTAAGCAAAATAGATTAATTTTTTTACTTAATTAGATGCCTAATACATCAAGTGTCGTATCAGTCGTGCTTCACAATTTTTTAAGTTTAAATGTAATTTTATAATTTAGATAAATAATTATTTATTTTTATTACATTGACAACATACCAATTAGATTTGAAATAAATATCATTTAAAAGAATACATACCAATTTCTATTACTTTATCGTATAATTTATAGTTTTATTTGATATAATTTAATTTAGTTTGATAAATAAATTTAAATTTTATTTATAAGGTTATATATTATATAAATTTAAATTAAATTTAATTTAATTTTTATATTTAT